AATTGTATGACACATATTCTCTCCATCAGATAAGATGAATTATGCTAAGAATGTTCTGTAATTGCTGTTGTAGATATACAAATGAATAGGGCATATAATTAATGGAAATAGTATCCACTAGTATTTGGCTGCATAATGCTTGCTACCATTTACAGTTTTAGAGATGTGTCAAGCCACCACACTCTGATCTGAATCTGAACTATTGGGTTTTGTCCATTGCCATGGCAATAGAGCTTCATCTAACACCCATTTAAGCCAGGGGAATGGGGCGGCGGGGGGGAGGGAGAATCCTATTGACTGTAGGGGGCAATGGATTTGGCTCATCAGTGCCCAGCTGCGATTATGTTGATCAAACTTGCTTGGGTTTGTATTCTTTCCCTCACATTATCATCCAAGCAGACTTATGAGAGTTTTTGTACGGGAGTCTAACAATGAAAGAGACTGTTTTAACACTAAATAGGTTTTATTTTTTGAATTTGGAACAGCTGTGTGCTAATTTGCAAAGAGGAAAAAAAATATCCGGTTAGTTTACAAGAGTGTATCACAGGGTCTGCTCATTACAGGCCATATACTTGGGGTAAGTATAACTCTCTCTCTCTCTCTGACAGAAAGAGAGAGAAGTTGAGTCACTGAGACTGTTTTAGCAGCAGTGCCAGGTTCTCTGTATTTCCAAGCCTGCCTTAATGTGGTCAAGCTGTGAAGGACACAAAAACTTTTATTTTGCTTTGCAGCAGTAAGCTATTGTGCCATACACTTGTCTTGGTTTATTTATCACTCATCATTCACACTGACAAATTATAATAGTGATTATGATTGATAATAAATAATTAGCAAAATGCCCATCATCATGGAGGGAGGGGGGCATGTGAAGATAACGCTGAAAAGGATAGCACAATATATTCCTTTACCTTCTGAACATAGAGACACAATCTACCAGTGCAAGACATTCTGTTGCCTAAAGCAAAGTCCAAATGATACCCTCCTGGAGAGGGCAAACAGTCTTGCTACATCAGTCAGACCACAATTCCTACCTTTACCTGTTCCCATCCTCCTGCATAGTGCCACCTGAAGGAGCTCACCCTGATGCATGGCAGAAGAAAAACAGGAGTTCATGTCATGCCTGGGTCAGATGCAACTCAGCACTCAAGATGCAGAGCAAGCAGAAAGGTTAGCACTCTGCCACTGTATTCTGCTCTGGTCAGACCTCACCTGGAGTACTGTGTCCAGTTCTGGGCACCACAGTTCAAGAAGGACATTGACAAACTGGAACGTGTCCAGAGGAGGGCAACCAAAATGGTCAAAGGCCTGGAAACGATGCCTTATGAGGAACGGCTAAGAGAGCTGGGCATGTTTAGCCTGGAGAAGAGGAGGTTAAGGGGTGATATGATAGCCATGTTCAAATATATAAAAAGGATGTCACATAGAGGAGGGAGAAAGGTTGTTTTCTGCTGCTCCAGAGAAGCGGACACGGAGCAATGGATCCAAACTACAAGAAAGAAGATTCCACCTAAACATTAGGAAGAACTTCCTGACAGTAAGAGCTGTTCGACAGTGGAATTTGCTGCCAAGGAGTGTGGTGGAGTCTCCTTCTTTGGAGGTCTTTAAGCAGAGGCTTGACAGCCATATGTCAGGAGTGCTCTGATGGTGTTTCCTGCTTGGCAGGGGGTTGGACTCGATGGCCCTTGTGGTCTCTTCCAACTCTATGATTCTATGATTCTATGATTCTATGATTCTATGACTTTATTCAAGAAAACAGCATAGCAGGCAGTAATGCCTACAAATAGGACCTACAAATAGGACTGAATATCTTCACCCTCTACTTTCCCCAGCCGGATGTTTTCCAAGCAGTGGTGGTGTCAGAATCTGTGCCCATTGTTCTGCTACTCACGTAGCTCTCCATGTCCTTGGAGACAGTGGGGGAGGGCAGCTTAGGAGTGGCAAGCTCCTGGGACACTTCATCAGCTGAGTCTGAACTGCTTTCTGCCCTTTGCTCCTCTTGCTCGCTAAAGCCTGTTGCCTCTTCAGCATCCAACCATTCCTCCCCCTCCTTCCCCCTCTGACCTGTCTTCATTGTCCTACCACCACTCCCCGGACTCTGAGCCTTCCTCCTCTGAGGCTTCACTAGGGGGTTTCCTCTTCACCCAGCCAGTCCCTGACAGTACAGTGGGCTGAGTTTCTGCCAACCTTATTCCATATGGCAGCTACCGATCTGTTTACAGGCATTTTAGTGATTCATCTGGGCAATAACAACCTTGTCTTGTGGACAGGCCTGTCTTTCAGACATGCTATTAGGCATTATTTAAGCCATCTTCAAGACTGGACACTTAGCCCATTTCTGGTTTGGTCTTCACTGCTGGAGTGGCAAGCATAGAGCGCTGCACGGTACCATAACAAAATTGACAGAGCCTGGCGATAGGTCAATAGGGAGGTGAAAATATGGATTCTGAAGGCTGTGGATGCATATATATCTGATGGGTGGATATTGTACTCCTTGCCCCAGCCATACAGGCATGCTGCTGCTCATTTCTCTTCACATGTGACATGTTTTTGGAAGATTTGCACAGCACTCCTGAGGTATGTTGGGTGGAGGGCACTCCACAAACCACCACCTGACCAGCTTGAGTGTGTGTGGTGTAGGGTCTCAGGGCCTGGCACAGCAAAGGTGGCTGGTCACCTGTCAGGCCACCTACCTCCTTATATGGGGAGATGGTTTTGCCTCTGTCCATGGGATGAAGGAGCTGTTCTGGGGGTGGGGAGGTAGCCCTTAGCAGCAGGCCTAAGGTTTGCTGCCTATCAGCACAGGTGTGCCAGCTTTCATTAACTTCTGTTTGGTTTGGCTCATGTCTTCATAAAATCACAGAATCAAAAAAACGTAAATAAATACAACCTTTAATCAGTCACAGTCTCAAGTTTTAATTCTGAGTATTGGACAAGGCAGATCTAAAAGGATTTTTTTAAACAACAACAACAACAAACAACAACAACAACTGTACATGCAGGACACTGTTTGGGTGGGAGCAAAATCTTCATGTTTCATTCCAACCTAATAATGTGCTAAGTGCCTAGACTAGCATGTGGGTTGAGTGGTACCGAAGGCGGTGATGCAACTGGCAGCTAAGCACACCAGCACAGTGTCCAGGAGTATTTTGTTCATAAATACATGCCCACAATTAAACTTTCCACCATGCTGAGCACAGATATGAGAGCCTGGGTGTGCTTTCCTCCTCCCCTGACGGAGAAGAAAATGTCACTGTGTCAGCACAGAGCAGCTTTTTACAACACCCATGAAGCCCATAGAACATGAAACAGCTGTTTCCAATTCACTCGGTGGCAGATGAGTTCCTGACCCACCTAAGTGAGAAAATCAAAGGCAGTTGGATAGGCGGCTGGTCACACCTCTCCCTGGTGAATCATATATCTATAGAAACTGACATGCCTTAACCCCATCAGCCCAGTGTCACATGCAGCTTTGGGTAGGTTTTGATGTTTGACTATTTTTGTCATCACTTTCCTCCCCCACCTCCTGCTCCAGCAGTCACTCAGCCAAAACTATGTGCTGATTTTCAAGTTGGGAGACACTTTTTTTTCTTAAATCAGAAAGAAAACCTGAAAATAAGACCTTTTCCTTTTAAACGGAAGTGATGTTTTTAGCACTAACAGAATACCTGTCAGGGAGTTCATGGCTTAAACGATGGTTTAATGCTTATGAGCTTCTTGGGAATCTGCGTGCTCAGAGATGGAGAAGGGAGCAAATATATGTAGCCTTAGGCTTTGTGATAGACTTGTAGCATGAGGTCTCTGGATTGGTCAGGCCTAGTAGAAATACCTGGAGCTTGCCTCTCGCCCACTGAACTCTAAGCTCCAAGTGGTGTTCAAGTCCCCAGCTTACATTCTTGATCATGGGAACACTGGGTTGGGCAGTCTCCCCACTAAAACCACAAGAATCCTGCCATCTTTGTGCTAGAAGCATACAGTAGAATAGAAAGCCCACTTTAGGGATTCTTCAACTTTATCCATGGAGAGGGCATAGGAGCATGTACCCTGGCTCTGCCCTCTCCCTGTCACCCTTCGACCACTGAGTGGGAAGGTACGAATGAGGACTGAAATCTCCATGACTGAGAATCCTGTGGGCAGAATTTAAGAACACTGAGAAAGGTGTTCATGAATGGTTCGTGAAAAGCCACATGCAGCGGGTACAGTTTACATTACGGTTATGCTACGGTTTGCAAAATGTAATTATACATAATTATTTCAGACCCTCCAAGTGTCCCTATTTTCCAGGAACAGTCCCAGATTTACAGAAGCCAACCCGGTTTCTGGTTTGATCCCAGAAAGTCCTGCTTTTCCTTAGGACGTCCCTATTTTCATTGGATAAATGTTGGAGGGTATGGTAGGACGTCCCTATTTTCATCAGAGAACTGTTGGGGGAGTGTGGAGTTATGCAACCCTCAAGCCAAGGAGATAAGTAACTATACAACCATTAAAAGACATTTGAAGGCAGCCCTGTATAGGGAAGTTTTTTTAAAAAAATGTTTAATGTTTCATTATGTTTTTACATATGTTGGAAACTGCCCAGAGTGGCTGGGGCAACCCAGTCAGATGGATGGGGTTCAAATATTAAAAGTTGTTGTTGTTGTTGTGGAATAGGAGGTCCTTATTTTTATTGAAGAAATGTTGGAGGGGATGTTATTTTAGTTAGACCTCACAGTCTTGAGACCCCATTCAAACAAAATCCCATTGGTTTTGATAAGAAATTTCATCAGCTTCCTTCTCTCCCTTTGAAATCAATGCACTTTAAGAAAGCTTAATTTGTTCTGAATTTTGTGTGTCATAAGGGCACAGGTTCGAGAAGCAGAGCTGGGCAGCAAGAATGTGAAATATAGCAAAATATATAGCAAAATATAAAAATATATAAAATATATAAAAAATATAAAATATATAAAATATAAAATATATAAATATATATATTTTAAAAAATCATTCCAGTAGCACCTTAGAGACCAACTAAGTTTGTTATTGGTATGAACTTTCGTGTGCATGAACACTTCTTCAGATACACATGCATGCACAGTTCTTCAGATGTGTATCTGAAGAAGTGTTCATGCACACGAAAGCTCATACCAATAACAAACTTAGTTGGTCTCTAAGGTGCTACTGGAAGGAATTTTTTTATTTTGTTTTGACTACGGCAGACCAACACGGCTACCTACCTATAACCATAAATAAGCACATATACTAAGCACACATATTAGACATAGGTTCATCAAGGTAAGCTAGTGACCACTGTGCAACACTTTAAGAATGGTGACTCTGTGACTCCCTGGGATCCACATTGGCTGTATGTCCTCTTAGTGGACTTGACAGGGGTATAATTATTTATTTTAAACCTTTATGGAACCTTATATCCAAAAATAGATCTCAGGATTGTTTAAAATGATACCTCTGGTTCAACACATAATCAACAATTCAATAAAATTAGGATGACTAAAACCAGTCAATGAGCTAAAAATATCATCTCAAGTGCCTGGACACTTGACTCCAGAAAGAACACAGGACAGAAAGAAATCAGGACTAGCTGCAAACTCACTGTTAACTGGTTGTCAGTTCTGCACACTTTAAGATTCATACAGGGCAAACCTATGCACCTATGCACAAGAAGCTGATGTAGCCAAATTCCAAGCTGCTGCTGGAGCTCGCCTAAACCGGACATAAGGAAAGCAAGTCTGTGAAATAATGCTTGAGTTAACCACACTTTTCGTCAACTGAATTTATGCTAGGTTGCCAAATCACATGACCAAACTGAACAGGCATAGGATTCTGCCTAAATCTTCCCTCTCCGGTCCTCCTTCTAAGGTAAGTTAAGTTAAAGTAAGGTACCCCTGGATGGTAAACTCCAGTCAAAGGCGACTATGGGGTGCGATGCTCATCTCACATTTCAGGCCAAGGGACCCAGCGTTTGTCCACAAACAGCTTTCCAGGTCATGGGGTCAGCATGATTAAACCGCTTCTGGTGCAACAGAACACCGAGACGAGTGCCAGGGTGCACGGAAACGCCATTTACCTTCCTACTCTAGTGGTACCTATTTATCTACTGGCACTTCTCCTTTCACAGAAGCTGGGACAGAGCAATGGGAGCTCACCTAGGATTAGAACTGCTGACCTTCTGATCAGCAAGCCCAAGACGCTCAGTGGTTTAGACCACAGCGTCACCCGCGTCCCTCTACCATGGCCCTAGGATGCTCCCATTTCAGGGTTTTATGCCATCTTAAGATCCAGCAGGTTCAGCTCAGCCATACTTTAGCCATACTCTGAAAACAATGTCAGCACGTGCCCCCCATTTGTTTGCTGCTCCTGTGCTCTGCATTATTGTTCTTACAAAATTTCTTGTGCATTCTTCCTTGTACTCTCAAATACACCTAGTCTCTTTCAAAACTATTATTATTGTTTCCTGGCAGATTCAAAGAAGAAGCAATTAAAGGTTCAGTTTTGTAAGTAGCTGGCACCACTTCACCTTTTCGTCTCTCCTATTAAACCTTCTCATAGACAAGTTAGAGGAGTTTTTAAAAAGAACTTACATGAAATTACGGAAATAAATAATCAGGTATTATACTAAAAAAGATACTCCAAAATATTGGCAGAGTGATTTCTTTAAAAACAAGTACTGTATAATGATATTATACCTAAGCAGAGAAGTCACAGGTGAGTTTTTATCTATTATCTCTTTGTCATTAATCTCCCTTCTTTGTTCTCCTCACCTCCCCCCGCCACCATCTCTAAGTTTTCAGCTCTGTTTCCTATTCTCTCTGTGTGATATATAGTGAGCAACTGTGTGAGTTTCTGTATTACTACATAAGAAAAAGACATAACAGAACAGGACTGTGACATCTCCAGTTATAGGTGCCCCAGATCAAAGAAATATGTGGCTCTGGGATTGCCAATGTGGAGCCCTCCAGGTGTTGCTGGACTGCAACTTCCATCATCCTTGAACGTTGGCCTCATTGGCTTAGGCTGATGAGACTTGCAGTCTAGCAACATCTGGAGGCTGCCACTACTGCTATAGATGTGTTGGAATGGATTCAGAGGTGGACTTCTTCGAAGTGCTCAATGGCTGTCACACAGAAGAAGGCGAAGACTTATTCTACGCTGCCCAGATCTAATGGGTTTAAGTTTTTATTATTAACTCTATTGCCTAAAACTCCCAGGGTGGGTTACGACAATTTAAAAATCAGTATTAAAAACAGTGAAAACAAATTACATTCCTAGGACTAGGGTGGGTACTGAAAACATATGTATTCAGTGTCAAAGGCCGAGGTAAAAAGCATTTGCTGAAAATGCTACAGTGAAGATGTCAGGTGTACCTCTGTGGGTAGCAAATCCCGCAATTTAGGGGCTGCTCTCTGCTGATGTTAACACTTGTAGTGAAGGAGACAGTTTCTTGGAAATTGGGGGCCTAAGTCATTTAGGGCTTTAAACAGTAATGTGAAGCCCTTGAGCTGGATCTGGAAATGACCTGGCATTCAGTGCGGCTGCTTGAGAACAGGGGCTTGAGGAATTCTAAAGGTAACCCCCACTAGTAATCTGGCTGCTGCATTTGAATGAGTTGAAGTTTTTGCCATCTTCAAGGGCAGCCCTTTGTGGAGCACATAGCAACAATCCAATTATGAGAAACCTGCTAATGATAGGAGACATTCAGTCATGCAACCATGTACCTTAGTTCCATCTCACTGGAGTGGGTAGACTCACTGAAGATGTTCCGTCAGAAGCTGTACAGCCAGTATTTTGGGATGCTCTATCTCTGGATCTTCTGCGTTGAGCTAAGTGACCTGCAAAAACCCATTCCGCTCTATGAGTCTATGCAGCAAGTACCCACGTGCCACCTGTCATTGCTGGAGGAGCTTGTTCTCTGGATGCTGAACCATTTTGACCTTGTACTGCTCTACCCTCTGATAGGTGGATAGTTCCTTTTCACCAGGTGCCTGAGCATGTAAATATTAATGCTGCACTGCTTTTTCGTAATGTTCACTTTTCAGTGACAGACCTCACATTTGAGGGATCGGAAGAGGATCATTGGGGACCCTCTTTTGTGCATTTTTTGTACCTGTTCACAGACATTGTTGGCCTTTACAACTAGGGTTCAGCGAGTTATCTCACCATAGTACCACTTATTCAATCAACATTTGCTATTGTTATGATAAACAAAACCCTTCCACTGCTCCATTCAGCAAGGACAGAAGACAAATGCACCCTCAAAATTTAGCCAACCTGGGTGGGTTGAATGCTCACAAGTAGGGAAGAAATATAACAGAAGCCTACTTTTTTTGTTTTTGTGAACTTCCTTGGGAAATTGAAAAGGAATATGTAAATTTTCAAAATAAAAATATCTATGTAAATATCCAACCAGTAAATCCTATTTTACTACCTTCAAAAGATGCCCAGGTTAGCTTTCATATTTTAACATTGCACTATTTGCACTCAATGAATATAGGAATGTTAAACAAAGAGCTCCAATAAAAAAAATAAAAACCCACACATTTTTAGATCTTTCTCTTATAATGCATTAGTCTAGGACATTGGTTTAAAGCACCATGTCATTATTTTAGAGTTAAATGTTTTATACAGGAGCATCAAAACCATATATGCTTCAATCGCCAAACATTTTTTTAATGGCTTTCAGATAAAACAATTTATTTATGCAATTAAAAACAACATGCAATTTCTAATAATTAGCAGATAATAGTTATCCACAAAGTACTTTATAAAATTGCCTTCAGAACTGCATTCATTCTGCAGGGAACCGCTGAAAATTAGACTATAAAATTACCAGAAAATGTACTGCATTAACAAGAATATTCTGTATTCTGCTTCCCCTCCAGATTTATGGGCTTGAGTATTTGTAAACATTTGGTTTCTCATAGAGACATCAGGCCCTATCGCCTTACCACTTTAGGAAGAAATAAATACCACAACAGTTTACATTGCAGGATTATATTTCTATCCACATTTTGTCACCACAATATATGCAATGCTTTCTTTTTTTTATGTTAGGGAGAGATAAATCTGCCTCGGCAATCTATTTTTGTCAAAGGTCATAAAGCATAAATGTTAAAGAACAAAGGAACATCTGAAATGTGAGATGTAAGATAGCAAAATAATGACTCCTGCACATCTCCCCAGGACGTATAAGCACTGAGGCTGGAAAGCAGCATTTGGGAGGCTTTGTTGGGAAGAAAGCACCATTTGAAGAGCATCCCAGGATCTTAAGAGTTCAGATGACCATGAGGCTATTTATGGAGCACTTCCAATCTGATGGTATGGGAGCTGCTGCATGTGAAGAGCTACTGTTCCATCTTCTCTGGGGTCCTTTCCCTTGCATGCCCAGCCACAGAGTCCCCCTTCCGATCCACCTAACTACAGTTTGGATAAATAAACGAACATGACAACCGTCTGGGGTTTTTAAATGGCCGCAACTTTATGGATTTCAGATGTAGGAAGCCTTGGCATAGGCACTGGGCATATATCCCTCTCAGCCCCCCTGCTGGGGAACTGAGGCATGACAGGGTCAGTTTGGGTGTGGATCCATTGCAAAACGCAGGTTTACATGGATGGCCCCCAAACACTGAGGGAAACTCTGGCCCACTAGTCCTACGCAACTGGCCCTTTGGACAGAGACTTCCCTCTAGACCCCTCTAACTGGGTACCTTGTAATCACCGCCGCAGAGAACAAGGGGAGGATGAGTCATCACTTCATCTCACCCCAGTTGGATGAAAGACTATAGGATTCTGCCCAAGGCCTAAACCACCAAAATTGTGACTGGTGCTATGGGGAAGGTGAAACATGCAACACAGGGAAAATTCCTTCCTTGCCCAGAATACAGTGCCCATCAACAGACTACAGCAAAGCCCTCCTAGTTGAAAAGGAAATGGTTAAGGCAGTAAGAAACCATTAATGGAGGAAGGGAAGGGTGGGTGACGCTCCCGGCCAACTGGATGAAGAGGGCCGAGTCAGTCAGGATATATTGTTGCCAGGTGGACCTGAGTGAAGCCTGCCTCCCTCAAGTCTGCTCGGCAAACCAAGCCTCCCTGGACTGCCATGGACTGGCTAATTCAAACCGATGGGTTTGGCAGGAACCTGTGAGCCTC